GCTTCAGAACGCGAAGCCGCCATGTTCGATTCATTCCTGAATCTCGACGAGACGTCGTCGCATCTCGGTTCTTCCGTCTCTAGCATTGGAAGTAGTCACTCAGAGAGCTCGACAAGCGTCTCCTCCGCATGGAGCCACCACTCCGCAGACAGTTCACTGCCGTTCCCGCTTCATCACCCACGTCCGCGGGCCCGGCGGAGAAGAACTAGGCCTAGAGGCCCAATGAACGAAGGACAATACCAATGTACTTTCTGCATGCAGTCCTTCAAGAAGAAGCACGACTGGCTCCGACATGAGAAGAGCGTTCACCTCCAGCTCGACGCATGGATCTGCACTCCGGATGTCAACGAACTCCGGCCGGGCAACTTACCGTCGGAATGTCGATTCTGCGATCATAACACGCCATCTATCGATCACTGGAATGACCACGAATTTGAGGTATGTGCGCAGAAGCCTGTGGCAGATCGTTCTTTCAGTCGGAAGGACTATCTATGGCAGCATTTACGCAAGTTTCATGGATGTACCAAACTGCCTATTGAGAACCTGGATCAGTGGCGTAGTGCTGGGAGCGACGTCCGTAGTCGCTGTGGATTCTGCAGTGCGTCATTGCCCACCTGGACAGCACGAGGGGATCATCTCGCCGATCATTTTAAGCAAGGGTGCCGCATGCATCAGTGGGTTGGGGATTGGGGCTTGGATCCGCACATGTTAGGTGCCTTGCAGAACGCTATTCTACCGTCTGAACGGACCATGGAACCACCCACAGATTTCCCTCTGTCTGCTGGCTAAGTTCCTCGAGCGGTCTCAATCACCTGTTCTTCATCGTACGAGGGCATACTATTATCCCGTTCATGCGCTTCTTGGGTTGATCTCGATGTCCTGTGGATTACACTGTGGTAGGTGAAAGACCAGCGGTCATAGTGATCTCGCTTCTTGAGATGGGACTCATCTGCGCCCGTGGCATCCTAGCTACTGTACAGTATGGCATTTGCTAAAAATTAACTCAAAATCACATGGATATTTCATGACATTAACATTACATTCGTGACCACAAATCATTTGCTGGGTCATAACATGCATTCCTAATAAAATCTCGACAAAAGACTGCTCCTACTGGAAAGCCGCCGGTACTCATCCATGGCGGGACTGACAGCCTTCGGCATATCCTCGACCTCCATCGACGCCATGGAGCGGCTGGCTCTCATCGAGGCCGGCCGTACATTCTGTTCGGCCTTGGTCCGGATATAGTAATGCTCATCCTCCTCCTCCATGGCCACATAGAACCGCTCGTTGAGCTGGCGACCATGCGGTCCTGCACCACACGCCCCTTGCAGCTTGGTGGTGGCCGGGCTGTTCATCGCCAACGCGAACAGATTTTGAGGTTCCGTGAAGTCGGTGATTTGTCGTCCACGCACCTCGAACAGCATGAATGCAAGAATGATGGCGCTTGTCAAAAAGGCAAACACCAGGATCAAATAGAACACGTTCTGCCAGTCCACCGTCCCCCCGGAAGCATATCCCACGGCGCGAACTGTGGCCTCGAAATACTGCGGAACGGGCTCGGCAAGTGCAGAGGATACGTTATCGGTCTTGGTGTAGTTGAAGAATTGCACAAAAGGGGCATTCCTCGACCCAAGGAGCAGGGTACTGCCTGCCAGAACCGCAAGCGCCTCTCCAACCGATGGTAACTTGGGGTCAAGCGAGTAGGTCTTTGTTCGATTATCGAGGGTCGGAAGGAACTGCATCAGGAGGCGAGCATTGCTGGCACGGCCGTCGGTGATACCCGAGTTCAAACTCAATGATTTGGCCCACTCGCCAGCCACGTTCTTCCAGTTGCCATCCCACACTCCGTCCAGGGCGCTCTGATTGCGGTGATTATACTGCAAGGGATTTGCAGGATTCTCGCACCTGGTTGAAAAGGAAGCTCCACTGGCGGCCGCCGAATACCTGGTCGAACACACGGGGGACAATTTCGCCTTGAGTGCGCACAGCACATACGGCGGTGTCATGGTTTCATTCGGTGCTGCTCCTAGAATGTAAATGGCATTTGTGGGCCAAAAACCGGTGCTATTGGTGATGGTATTGTTGGCTATGGGCAACTTGCCAAACACAGGAGGCGTCTGCTTAATTTCGGCGTTGGCGTTGGGGTCCCACCCGAAGAGGTCATCGACGACCGTTCGATTAAACCAGTCGACGGGGACGTTTTTGTGTCCCTCGTAATCCCAGGTCAGTGAGTTGAAGTTGTGCACGTCAGGCCACCTCTCGTATACCAGAGGGGTGAGCTCCTCCTCCGTCATCCCGACACAGAGGACGTTGACGGCCGGAGAGGGCACGGAGGCCTCGATCTCGAAGTTGCCTTCGCCGGTCACATCGGCCGGCTGGCGGATGCCATTGCGCGGGTCGGTCGCGGCGGCGATAACTCCTGCATGAGGCATTGCGGCGGTGACGTTATTAACCATTCGACCGTATTTGAGCGACAATTCGGTCATATTGCCAATGTCAATCCAGCTTCCTGTCACGGTGGTGTTATCGTATAGCGAGCCGGTCGGGGGCGGCCGCGCTGCGAGGTTTGACGTCGTCCGGTTCTTCCTCTTAGCCAGGTCGCTCCATGCAGAGATGTACGCCTGGTAGTTGTGGTACGCCTGTCCGACCAGTTCCAGGTCCAAACAGGTGTTCCCTGCCTCTTCCGGGTCCGTGGCCAGAGTGACGGGGGTCGCGCAATGATTTTTGAGGTACTCCGGGTTGGCGAATTCGGTGGACACGTTTCCCACCAAGACCCGAGGTTCGAGGGGGCCCATCCGCAGTTTGGGCGCAACTATCACCGTCAGTATACACATTTGTTTCCATCAGAGCAAACCCACCTAGCGCCTCTGCTGCCGTGGTATAGAGCATCGCTACCAAGGTCGCGGTCAATGTGATCAGGCCCAGCACTGTCAGCGCCGAGTACCGCACAGTCTCCCAATGCACAATCAGAGAGCCTGGCTGCATGATCCAGGTGCGCATGCTCATGTCGGAGATAGTAATGCCCCGCGACCCCTTCGTGATCGCCCGACGACTCAAAACTTGCCCCAGGAATGCGACGCAGACGGTCACGTACGAGAGCTCGATGGTTTTAGCGAACAGTGCACTCAGTAGGCTGGCTGTGGACGGCGCCAGGCCACCGTCTTCCCCGATCTTTTTGCCGTAGCGCGGTTTGACCAGCGCGAGCACCAGGTAGATGCCGGAGAAGATGGTCGAGTAGATCGCCAGGACCAAGATTGTGATGGGAACCCATGACAATCGTTTCTGGACTACTCCATGGTGTGTTGGACATTTTATATATTCCGGCGAATGGGGCAATAGGGTCGTCCGCGACGTCTGGTACTGTAATGGCGAGGGCTCCGAGGATTCGGGATACGGGGATTTGGTCGCAAGGTCGCCGTCGTCGGCATCATCAGGAGACTTATAGGGGGATTGAGGGAAGGTATTGGTGATTCCTAAGCCAAACGGGGTCTCGCGTTGTGTCGGAGGTGAAGCGGGGTCGTCGTTTGTAGAAGAGGCGGGCTGATAGCGGATATAGTCGCGGTCGGGTGAAGGACTGCGGTCAAAGGGATTCCACGACTTGGGTAGGAATGAGTCGTCTTCATTATCATTACGATCATTATTATGAGTGGTGTCGCCTCGGCGAAGCAACTCGGACACAGGAGGCAGAAGATACTCCTTCGACTGCTGCGATTCGGACGCCATGACGGCGGTTTTGAATTATCTGAAGCGACAGTAGGGTTCGTGATGGATGGAAGCGACTGTAGATGAGTTCATAATGCAAGAATGTCAGAAATGTCAGGGAACTCCTGTAATATGTTTCTAATGATGCTGTTGGGTGTAGGACAGAAACCGGACTGTGCCACCGCCAGCGGAAGCGTAAGATTTTAAGTACCTCTGCGGTTGAACTGTCACGGTCAACAAGGATAAGCAGTCGAGCTGAAATCTGTGACCAATGAAAATGCTCCTGATTCCAGCCACGCGGTCTGGGCACTGCTGGGCCTTCTGAGACCTGTTCGTGGTTGTTTGAGTGTCGGAATATTCCACCGATAACGATCTATTCCGTTCTACATAACGTCTCCACCCATCGGTTCTGTCTCTTGATTTCATCTCAGCCCTGCGAATAGCCTTCTAATGTACTACAGTCCGCTGTGGCTCGCCATAGTACGCCTGGATTACCCTCAAAATAGGCTGTACGACCCATAACGGGTGATCAACTGCGAGGCTTGAGTCAAGAGCCAAGGGTAACGGGGCTCAGCCTTGCGCATTGTACGCAGAAACAGGAAAGGATCGGTCCATTGCAAGGAAACTAACCTGCTCCGCTCGTGCTAGCCTCTACCTTAGTGCATTATTAATCTCGTAGACTTCTCCTCATTTCTTTGTCCTAGTCTAGTATTTTCTGTTGACTGTAAGGCTCTGTTCATCTTCAACAACTTCAAGTCTCTACACTGAAATGGACGATCAACGGGCAACATGAACTAAGCTATACAACTAAACTAGATACAAGAGAGTGCAGTTGGATTATAGTTCCCGAACCACTATTTATCCAACCTTAGATAGGCCTTAATGCATCTTTAGGTGCTGTATATATATTGTTGCGTCCTCACCCGGTCTCTACCCGCGCTGTTTCGTACTTAAGCTGTAGCTGCGTATCTTAGAGGTTATTGGAAAGGAGACGTCACTCATAGGATTGACAGATTCTAATTGAGAAAAAAACAATTTCCAAGAGAAGTTACTCTAATTATTTGAGTTTGTGATGTTTATCTCGCAATAACCATCACTGCTGGTATATCCCTTGCATCCACACGTGTTTTCAATTTCCCCGACACTCTTCAGTCTTTCAAGGAAGTCTCTGACATTTAACGTCAACTACTGGAGCATTGCCTTGAAAATGGTTACGCGAATAATCAATCGACGGTATCGGTCTTCCATTTTGCGTGAGCTTTCAATCTACTCACATTCCCGCTCCATGGGTCAGTATGCCGGTACCTCTACCTTCAAAGTCGTCTGCTACTAAACACCCACTTTCATCTAGGTACGTCAGCTAATCCGGAGCTTTTCTCATATAACTCTGGTAGGTTTCTTTACAATGAGAACATTCGACTACGTGAGCGCTACGTCGAGTTCGACCCCAATGTTCTTCTACGAGAGGCAGAAAAGCATATGGACCCTAGCCACGGGCGTGCTCAGCGCCTTACCAAGTTCGCTGAAGGGAGATTCAATCCAGTTTTCCTCCTAGCTTTCGATGATGGATTCGAGGCCTTGCCAAAATTCCATAACGAATCGCGGGGCCCAAGCACTATGAGACCGCTAGCGAAGCGGCCACTCTCCATTATCTTCACTCCAAAGGTATCCCTGTACCCAAGCTGTACGGATATTCCTCTTCGGAGAGCAATCCTGTCGGTGTAGAGTACATCGTCATGGAGAAGGCCCCAGGTGTTGGTCTAGAGACCAAGTGGCCGAGCATGGACAAGCGCGACTTACATAAACTCGCCTCCAGTTTTGTTGAGATTGAAAAAAGATTTTTTGACATCCCTTTTGGGTCGATTGGGAGTATTTACTTCAAGAAAGATGTTCCTCCTGAACTTCAAGCTGCCTTGTACAGTGCCAGCGCCCAGAACAACCGCGACTCGGAGATGTTCTGCATCGGCCCAACGGCGGATTACATGTTTTGGTATGGGAAACGAGCTGGTCTCAATCTCTACCGTGGACCTTGTACGCTCACCTCATGGTTTAATCTCACGATGCCCATTTCTGACTATCCGCGGCAGGGAATGACCCCAAGAAGTACCTGGCCTCGATTGCAGAGAAAGAAATCGAATGGACTCGGCAGTATGGAAAGCCAGTACAGCTTGACTTTCCACATAATGGAGTCTTTCCCGGGGAAAAGTCTCCAGAGGATTACCTCTGCCTTCTAGATAACTACCTTACATTAGCGCCATATCTCCTTCCAAAAGAGCCTGATAACCCACTTAATCGGCCGACTCTCCGTCATCCAGGTATGTCTCTTCCATTGAAGTCGCGCAATCCGGCTGACAAAATCGAGATTTGAACCCGAATAACATCTTCATTTCACCCGACTCCGGTGCCATCTCTTGTATCATCGACTGGCAGCATGCAACAGTCGAGCCGCGTCTGCTGGTCGCTGGTCATCCTCGTGCATTTGAAAACCCAGATCCCGAACAATCCCCCGAGCTAAAAGAACCGTCTCTTCCATCGGACTATGAATCACTTTCAGCCCAGGAAAAAGCTGAAGCTGGTGAACTTTATCGCCGGCGTCTGCTCTTTTATTACTACCGTATTTTCAATGGTCACCTGAACAAGCCACATCTCGAAGCTCTTCGTGACCCGATCCTCCTGCCGCGTCAACACCTTGTGGATCGGGCGGGCAGACAATGGAACGGAAACCTAATGACCTTGAAAGGGGCATTAGTCCGCATGACTGATTATTGGCCTCATTTACCCGATACAAAGGGGCTACCGTGCCCGGTGCGGTTCACCGAGGCTGAACTGGATGGCTTTCATGAGCAGGAACAGCTGTGGTTTGACTTGAATAAGGTTGTGAACCACTGGCGGGACCAGATTGGCGGTGTGAATGAAGATGGCTGGATTAGCAATGAACAGTATGATGAGGCTATACGGAAAGTTGCTGAGCTTAAGGCTTCTCTCGTGGCTAGTGCGGAGGGGGACGAGGAGGATATTCGTCTTTTGGAGAGGGGCTGGCTGTTCAGAGATCGTGAGGAGATTAATTGACATAATCTACAACAATATTGATGGTTATGTGCTTCTGCCCTCGTAAGATTGTGTCATTTAAGTATAAGTTGATAAAGTGGCGGTGCCTTTTCTCCACCTGCATTTAGCCGTTATCCACAACTTACCCCTCTTCATTGGGAATGTTGACATCTGTGCATCGATAAAGACGAATCATTCTTGACTCAGCTGGATTTCCCCCTCTTCGATTCTCAATATGACTGAATTAGAACTTGTCACCGACCCTGATGATCTGAATGAGTTTCATATTACAGCTGGGTTGTCTAGCCTTAACACTGGAGGCCCGGGGGCCTCACCAGACCCAGTACCGCGGACGCGGAAGGTGAAGCTGGTTTTACTACAGCCTCTAGCCAACCCTGATATGCTTGCAGCCTGCCGTAATCCAGATTCTCGCGTCACTCGCAGATCCACCGGTCTCTCTGGTGACACTTCCACTTGCGAGTTTCTCGATATCCGGCCCCTCAGTAAGGCGTGGAGACAGGCAACAATGAAAGTCCCGCCCTTTTCTCACTTGATATTTGATCTTACTCTACCCAAAGCGAATGAAGGACGCAATGTTTCCTTTCGGAAAGTGTACTGGGACGTTGGCATGCCCCAAGGGGACACGCTCACTGTCGAGGCACGGGACGTTATGAATCTGGTCGTTACTATCGCCACCGAGACGAGGATACGAGCCAAGGGTAACGTGTGTTTCGAAATCGTGTATGACGAGGCTGAAGGGGTAGCGCCTAGGGTATTGACCCGTCTAGACAAGCAACTTCTTGCTCTGCAGCAGTTTCCAGGGAAGAAAGATGTGGAAAGGGCGAATGGTCACTGACGCTTCCCTACAAATGGAAATGGTCACTGACGCTTCCCTACAAGTGGACTGGCTGGCACGAGGGGATTGCTATAATGCTTGTGCTTCGAAATATTACTTTATCTTTGACATCAATATCATGGTCCAGCATTCTTGTCTATATCCGCTCTAGTCAAGGCACGCGATGCTGCAGCCTTGTGAGCATGATCTGTTCCTGAGGGCTGAGAGCAGTATCTAGTTATCTAGTTAGTTTTGTCCATTCATAAATGTACTATCACTGTTTTCTCATGCTACCTACCTCCACTGAGCATATCTACACCTAGTACTTCCGGAATGCGATTCGAAACGTGCAAGCTGTTAGGAACATCATCCCGGCCACCACAGACCATAGCACTACAAGTAAAGGATCCCTAATCCCATTGCGCTAGGTATGAGGTCACCCGGGCTGTTCTGGAGATAGTTCTCTATAGAATTTAGTACCAGAAGGGTAGTAAGTCAGATGTGTGGACGACTTTAAAAAGGCAGCTCCTGCACTTATGGAAGAGACTCTGTGTGCCATAATATGCAAATTGCTCTGCCATTCCAATTGTTGCAGCAAGCCAAACCCGCGCTGGCAGGCTGGCAGCGACATGTTCCAGATCCCGGATCTCATCTTCAGTCGCTACTGGGGTGTCTAGCGCTGTGGGCGATGGACCAGTGTGTGCTGCTTGCCCTTTTTCAGCTTTGCCCTCCTTGGCTGTGTCCATTCTCACAAGTCTATCGGTTTGTGGCTGGATATACTGCTTTACGGTTTAAAGCATCGGTGTAGTATAGTTAAAGGCCGATTCCATCGTACTATTCTTAACGCAAATGCGATCCATAAACAGGATCGTACAGAGTCGTAGATGGGTACATCTCCTTGCACAGAGTAGTACTCTGCTCTCATAGCAGCCCTGATCGCAAGCTGAAAGCCGTGATTGCAGGGAGTATCCGACCAGTTCAATACAATGTATACTCTTCAGAAAGGAGAATCATATATCTGCATTAAAGTAGTAATATGCACCTCTATCAAGTCAAAAACCGCTGTTCAGATCCGAAATGTTAGGACAAGCAACTAGATATCCTGACTGTCGTTGTCAACAATCATATTGTTACATTGAACTGCCCGTTAGTATTTAAGGATATTTGCATCCTCTTATCCTGATATAGAGACAGCAATAGCATTAATGAATACTGATTCTCCAGCTTGGTTGAGATATATAGGTGCCCCGCCGACCCCGCAACTCGCCTATTCCACCAGCTACCTTCACTGTCACTTCAGTCGTCTGCAGAGGATTCATCCCCGCGCGAGGTGACATTGCACACTTCGTAAAGCTGGGCTCAGGGTAGAATGAGTCTGTAACTTCACATCTCCGTCGCGTCCGAAGTGCTCCAATATGGTATTCACGCTTGATACAGCCACGGAAGCAGATGCTCCTCGCATCGCCGATATTCACATGGCGGCATTTCACACCAATGGCATGCTGCTGGCCCAGTTTCCCACGCCGGCCGTGCGAAAGGGGCTATGGACGTCGCTAGTCGACAAAGTCATCAAAGAGATTCGGGATCCGCAATGGGAGGTACTAGTGGTTAGAGAGGATGATGATCGAGTTGTCAGCTTTGCCAAATGGTGCCGTCCTGTTTCTGAGTCGGCGGTATATGAGGAAGAGCCATGGGTATGGCCTGAAGGCACCAATATGGCTATCTTGAACGCTTGGACAGAGAAGGTTGAGCAGGCAGCAGACAAAATAATGGGAAAGACGCCATGCTATCGTACGTTTTGTGCGATCCGGTTATCTGATTGACGATTGCTTACACCGTCCAGGCCTTAGCTTTATTGCGACTGACCCATCTTATGCCCTGCGTGGAGCAGGGTCCCTGTTGGTCAATTGGGGAATTGAACGCAGCAAGAAAGAGAATCTTCCTATTGCCTTGGAAAGTACACTAGACGCTGTACCATTCTACCAAAGCTTTGGATTTCAAGCAGAGGCGCGTATCTCCATGCCACTGGAAGGCGTCGGAAAGGATGGTGAAACAATCCTGTACGAGGAAGAATGTCTTGTATATAGACCTAAGACTAGACTATAATTCGAATAAAGAACCATGCAAACTAAATTGACTAGCACCAGCCGTATTTCTCATTCAAGAGCCAATTGAGCGAGCATGGCTTTCCACTCCCCTCTCCATACCATTGCAGACAGGGTATACTGTCTTGGGTTCGACGCTTGCGCTGGAACGGAATACCTGATAGTTGTATTGCTCTTTCCAGAGAGTGTGATGGATTCCACAGCTTGATCTTGTGCAGACTCCATTCCGCCGCTTCTGCCCGAGCAGCTTGTAAAACCTCTCTCACACTCGTGACTTGTTCATAGGTGAGATCGTCGTCGGTGTCGAGACTCAGGGTTGCGTCCTCTACGACAAATCGGAGAATATATAATGTGTTTTCGGAGAGGCTATTGTCTGGGTGGTTATAGAAACGGTGCGTCCAGATGGCCCAGACAAAGTGTCCAGGTTCTCCGCTCATGGCACCCTTTACCAGCGGTGCTTTACCAAAGAGCCTCTGCGCCACAAACTCCTCCTTGCTGTGATGCCATAACATATGGTCATGGTCTGGGAGAATGAGCAACTGGGTCATATCGTTCGTTGAAAAACGTGATATTTCGTGTCCGAGTATCGCCACGTCGACCGCACAGAGCCTGGATACATCCTCAGCATAGACAGGCAACGCAGCGTGCTGTATCACAGCAGGTTCAAATTCGATATGGTCGCTTGGAAATGGATGCCATCCCAGGCTTTTATAGAATCTGGGTTGAATGTCCGAGAAGAGTACACTGGCCACGCATTTCTTTCCCGCACACTGCCAGGTGGGAAGCGTCTTGTTCAACTCCTCGAGCAGTCTCGAGGCATATCCTGTCCTCGATAGACTGGATTGCAGTAGACACTCGCAATGCCGTGGACAACCACAAGTTGATTAGTTTTCGTTTGGTCACTGATCAGTGACAGCTTGCGAAACGTCTCACAAGAAGCGAGTATCGGTCGTTGATTTGGCGCACGATTTCGATCCACCAGGATCCATTGCGTCATGCCCTTGTTGCGAGCCAAAGGAACTGTCATGAGATATGCAGACTCTTCCAGGTATTGAGGAATGGTAAGAGCATCCTTCCACTCATTCGAGGTCAATTGCCAGATGCGAAGATTCTCCTCGTCCGTGGGGTGATTGAGATGAAGATCGGGAGATGTGGAATCCGGGAGCACTTGCTCCTCAGATTGAGCAGTAACGACGGGCAGTGCAACCGGACTCATTCTGATCTTACCTTTTACAATATCGAAGAGTATGTGAATGAATCTGAAGATGCATTCCAACAAAGGGATTGTGGCATCGGTTTACCCCAATGAAACAACTAAAATGCTCGGCGGTTAGAAGGCCCCTCTCGTTGGTTGATGTATATTAAGAGAAAGATGATTGGCACAAAAATCTCGAAACGGTGACCAGCAATGCAGTCCAAGCCTTTTTTGCTTATTTTAGTCTCGCACAGCCATGGTGACACCGATCATTGGTGCATGGCTCTATGCCTATCTCCTCTTGCCAGCCGTCGGCCTGCCCCTCCACGAACCTTGCTATCCTTGTCGAGACCACGCAGTTCCTTCTGCGCTCAGCCATTGGCAGAGTGCACTACCTTGGGGCCAGGGGCATCAAATTTGCCGCGCATTTACCAGTCCAGCCGCTGGGTTTGTGTTAGATCTTTCTAAGCTCTACGGCCAGAGGTTTCCGACTCCTGCAAAGCACCGCGCATGTTCTCACCCTTTGAGCAGCTGAATCGTCCTTGTTGGAGCTACAGTATCTAATGTCCAACTCGAAGAACCGGTCGTAATGTAGCAAAAGGATGGACCCGATCACCACAATCGGACTCCTTGGCTCAATAGCCAACCTCATCACCATCACTGGAGAGACAATTCAGCTGGTAAGAAGCTTCAAGGATGGCGAGCGCGAGCTAGCGGATTTATCCAACCAGCTATCACTTTTTGAAGAAAACCTCAAAGGCTTTGACCGGGTCTTCCGAAATCGTCGGGTTGTCCACCAGATCTCGGTGGAGACGGTGAAGAATGGCATTGACGAGAGTTCCGCGACACTGAAGGACTTGAGGAAGCGACTTCAACAAATCGCCAGGTCGGAGAGCTCAACTATCAGACGCATGAGATGGGTTCAGCACAAGTCGAGCCTCGAGAGGATCGATGGCCGCATCAAGGGCCAGTGTGCAATGCTGCACAGCTTGGTCTCGGTTGCTCAAATGTTTGTCATCTGAGACGCCAAATAGGGACCGGTCTGCTAAACTCATGCTCTTAGGGAAATTATGTTGGCCATGTGTAGCCAAAATCCCCAACTTCTCGAGATCTGCTCCAACGTTGCGGAGGAGATGGCGAGAGACACGATTGACCGGCGTGATCTTCCTCTCCTTCGCACACCTACCGACCCTGCCCCCAGAGTCGACCGCCGACCAGCCGCGTACCAGGAAGAAAACATAAGAGCGGTCGTGAGAAACTCTGTATCATCGGCGAATTCGTCAGACGGCTCATTATTGGCACCTGGAGCGTGGAATATGCCTCGACGGAACTCTTCATCGACTGGGTCAAGCATCGGCAGTTCAACAGCCTCACCAGCAACATCCATTTTTTCGAGTCTCAATGAGTCGGCTTCGTCGATCACTGTCCCAGATCAAGATGAAACTATACAAAGTCCGAGTCTTGTACGCGCCAACAGAGCTAGGACTGCCGACACAGGTGCCCTGGTGATTCGCCGCGCCTGTCGATTCGACTGCTACTGCCGATGCCACAAGCAAAGCATGGAGGTTTCTAACGACCTATTCTCCAAGTTCAACTCGAGCATATTCAAGCAATCAAAGGCTACACGAATCGAATGCTCTGAGCCAGACTGTGCGGGAGCAACATCCTCACAGACCCGAGTCTTACCATCCGCTTTCTTCCATCGAGCCGTTTCACGTTTGGCTTCGATGCAAGGAGTGAGGCTCAGGTACAATCTCAACACATATCGAATGGTGCCAGAAGGTTCTGATGCAATGCGATATGTTAAACATGGCAACCTGGACAAGCTGAAGATGTCCATCTCATCCAGGGAGGCCTCACCCTGGGATACGGCCCCTGATGGGTGGTCTCTCTTACATGTAACGCTCCTCCTCTTACCTTTCAGCTATTCGAATGCTAATATTAGTAGACCGCGGTCTATGCAAGACAGCTACCGACCGTAAAATATCTCTGCGACATCGGCGTTGATACTGAAGTCGCAGACCTTGGAGCTAGGTCCGCTAACCCAATGATTGCAGATGATGATGTTACAAAAGCTGACTGTAACAAAGAAAACCGGTCGACCTGGCGATTCTCAAGTCCCTAGCCGCAGACGCAACTGAAGTAGAGAAAGAGATTGTGCGCATATTCGCCAAAGACGACGACTATCTCGAAGACTTTGAATTCACCCCCATCCACATCGCCGTTCTGGATCTCTACGACGCCAGCGATCCGGAGCGACCGAAGCTGGAGGACCTCATTGAATTTTTGGATAATGCGAACAATGCTCCGCCGGGGACAAACTGGGCACGATGGAAGAGTCGATACCAAAAACGATCACCGTTGTATGCGGCCATCACCGAGCAGTTCCGCGTGTCCGCCTTGGAAAGCGACGGCGCGCGCAAAGTGATCCATAATCTCCTCGACCAGAAGGACCGAAAGTTCCACTGGACTCCCCTGCATTGGGCCGCAGTGACCAATCGTGCCGACAAGATGAGGATTCTAGTCGAACATGGTGCCGACCCCTTCATCCAGTCCAACCTGAATGCGAATATCATCCATGCCGCGGTCGAGTCGAATGCGTTGCAGAGCTTGGGCTACGCACTCGAGCTGAGCAGATGCTATCCGGAGCAGTTGAACATCAATCAGCCCAATATCTGGGGAGAGTCACCGCTGATGATGGCCGCGCAGGGGTGTCTAGTGGATTGTGTCCGGTTGTTGCTGGCCGAGGGAGCTGATCGCGCAGTAAGACAGGAGAATCAACAGGTGGCGCTTCATTACGCAGGATTATCCTCTCGAGGAGAAAGCAGACGGCAGACGGTTGCCTTACTTTGCCAGAACAGCGGACAAGACTTCCACCCTATCAACTCGCAGGACGAGGATGGACGACCGCCACTGTTCGACCTTCTGGATGATGCGAAATGCGTGGAGGAGCTGATACGCAATGGTGCCAACCTAAGCATACAGGACATAACAGGGAAGAATGTATACCATCATGTATGCATACAGGACGAGAGCGAGTCTCTGAGGACCCTCCTACGGCTATACCCGAGCACCGCCCTGTTGAAGCAAAAAGACCATGATGGGAACACTCCGCTCATCGAAGCACTGCAGCACGAAAGTACAAGGAGCGCAATAATTCTTCTTGACTCTGACGATGTTGGCGATGTGTACGGAGGAGATGGATGGGCAGCGGTTCACTATGCAACCAAAGTTGGAGATCCGCGGCTGTTGGAGAAAGTGCTACAGCATTCAAGCTACAGGAAAGGAATGAGAACTCGCGATGGGAAAACAGCCCAGGTAATTGCGATGGAGTCTGGAACATGGTGTGGGCAAGTAAAGGAACTCTTGAGGAAGTATAACTCGCTGGCATGAGGCTACGATGTGACAGACTAAGTGTCTTTATACCTTGCTACAAAGCCATCCTTCCGGTCTTGACAGATCGAAGCACTCCTTCTTCTGCAAGTTTCTTGATCATATTGAAGAGCATAAAGTCGCATCCTCTGCGCGCAATGATATTGATCGTCACCGGCCACTGCTCCCTCACCATGGTCACTGGCGAGTAATAGTCTACCTGTCCGAGGGGGATGGTGAAATCCACACACCTACAGCCAGTCAGCACGCTTTCCGATTTGCGCAGGAGCTCCTTACCCAAACAAAGTACAGATACCGCTGCAGGACACGTCTGCATGCTCAGGAAACACATTCATGAAGCTGGCATTGGGGCTATTGTTCAACTCCACCTCACGGAAACTCGGCAAGCCCCCGGTGCCTCCGTCGCAGATCATTACAGCCTCTGAGCACGAGTCGGACGTCTGGTACAAGACTTCATCCTGGAACCAGTTGACTGCTGCGGCCTTTGTCCGCAAGGCTTGCTCATACACTGCCTGGGTGATATGGCTGACATCATACCTAATCCACGCATCCCTCCATTGCGCGTCGACGGGCGGGAAGCGGCCTTCGTTCCTCGCAGCCCAGGTTGAGATCAGGGGTCCAAAGACCTTGGTGGACTGGGTCCACAGCTGTAGCGTCGCCCCAGCGTCGTATATGAGGTTCCAGTTCACGAAGAGGCTTCCAACGGCGTCGGCGAAAATGGATGCATTGCTCGCTGTCGCGGTAAAATTGGTCTGTTCGATCGTCATATTAAACACCCTTGTCATGCCGCGAAGGAAATTATCGAGGATGGCCTGCGCTGCGGGATTGGCCAGAGGAAGATACTCCACTGGATATAAGATCCGCTTTGGGAAGGCTGTTGTGTCTGGTACCGATAGAGGTGGTAGACTATTAATCGAGGGATCTTGATGCAGGCTTGGGGTATACCAGGCTTTAGCGAACTCGGCCCATTCCACCGGATCACGAGAGAAGACCCCGACAGTATCTTCCCCTGCATTCAGGGGAACAGCACCCTCAAGCGTCATCATACCCTGGCTAGGACGATTGCCAAAAGTCCCTGATACCGAAGCAGGACGGCGCATAGACGAGCCTGTATCTGTCCCGATTGCCGCGTCAAGCCAATCGTACGCAGCGACTCCGCATCCCCCTCCGGAGGATGAGGCGGAGCAGGTGAGGTACCCGTCACCCCGGGGGTTAAAGGGGGCCTGTTCATCAGTCCAATTCCACGGATCTGCAGCCGACGCAAATTGAGCTAGCTTGAACTTGCCTACTATCACTGCTCCAAGGTCGATCAATCGTTGAATAGCAGGAGCAGTCGAATTGGCAATCGGGGTTACTTCGATCCACGCCTGGCTTCCAGCTGAGGTTTGTAGGCCTTTGATATCAAAAAGGTCTTTTACTGCGACTCGCTTGCCTGCCAGTGGCCGAACGTCATTCCAGGAATGAATTCGACTGGGCACAGGGATCAGTGGCCCCCAGAGCCGTGGATTCATCGCAGGTAGGGCGGTAAACAAACCAATGCCGTCGTTGGAGGGATATGCACCGGTAATAAAGGTGCGAAAGTTGTCGACATACAGTCGGTAAGTGTCAAGGAAAGAGATGTACCCATTGTCGATGAGAATGGTAAACGGACCTGGAGGGAGGGATGTGCCGTGGTCGTCCTTTAACGCATATCCATTGCGGGGGATACGATCGAAAGAGCTGGCGTTTAGTAGAAGACAAGCCGCACCTAGGCTCCTGAGATATTTCTCTGCCGTCGAGTCCAATCTAGACTTTGACACAGTCGATGTGAGGTAGACTGCGTGCAGGAAATCGGCCGAGAAGACATCATCTTCGACCAGGTAACTGGAAATAACAGACTTCAGATAGCTGCCGGTGACCACACTCTGGTTCACCAGAATGACTGTTGCTGGTACAAGTCGGGAAGTAGTGGTGTAGTTCAGGTTGAAGATTGCCCTGGAATGCTCGATGTTGGCAAAGTAGGTGACATTGCCGAGTTCATATGTAACCCCTTGAGTGTATGGTTGCACATTGACTATGGAATTCCCTCTGTTAAAGATCCCAGAGACAGTGGTACAGAAAAGCAGCGATTGCACAAAGAGAGATATCCAGGAGTTCATTTTGAAGGACCATTCTAGTATGGATCAACTGGCGGTCCTCGAAGACTTTTGTCGGTCCTTAAGTAGACGAAGCAGACAGCAGCCGTTGAGACTTGGACCACAACATGTGCGTCGGTCATATGCAGTGTGATTTCTCCCTTCCTGAGATCTCGGATGTCGTGTTTCTCAATCCTCGACCCTATTTGCCGGGCGTTGCCAATGTTGCACGACAGCCAGACACCACGTTCCGTGCTAGTCGATATGCCATGGCCTGGATTGGTGGAGTTAGCACATGTTTGATTACATTGCGACTATTGCGACAGATATCCAGGCACTGTTGCTTCTAGATTTCACATTCGCCAGGATCCTGACTCGCATGGCAGCATTCCTATTGTTCTCCCGTGGGATCCTATTGTTCAGTTGGTCAATATCAGCACCACCCCTGTCCACATTGTTTCTTCTTCAAATGCACTAATCAAGCCTAAGAAAAAAATGCCAACCAGTAGTTATTCGATTCTCTAATGCATCTCACCGTCTTTTCGTCCACACGTGGCATAAATTTCCGGGCCTCCATGACTCGTTCAGTTGTTATCCCTGTCCCGAACCCCTGGACCAATTCTAATTGGCTGTGTCATGCATGCTGTATGTAAAAAGGTAAAAGATTTAGGGTCTTCGACAGGTGACAGAGAATAATAGGGCTCGAACAGGCATGAGGCATGAGGATAAAATCAAAGAGGGAGTTTCTGATCGATCATTCCCCATGGTGCACTCTTATTGCTGTACTATAAGCCGTAGTCTTCCGCTAAAGCAAAAGCAAATCCTTTCGTAAAGCAAGGTTATATGCAGGTTGAATGTGTTAGCTGGCCAGGCGACATGAAGGAACGCAATATGCGGCGTCCGTAGAGGAAGGCCATGTCATCGGCTGGCTCCGACTCCCAAAGAGGGACTTAGATTGGGCTCAATCGATATATACACTTAATCTCAGAACCGCCAACCATGTGTCCATGACAAGTAAACACGAAATAGCTAACGTTCATAAGACCGTGTGTGGAGCCAGTTCAAGTCCCGGAGTGTCAATTACTTATATTAATCAATTTGTCCTTATAACATATACTGGAGCATAAAAACACGCTCATGGGAACAGCAACACAATACGATTGAGATAGAAAAGAACGAAAAGAAGGACACGGTAGTCCTTGGATCACGACAAGTCTGGTGTGCTGTATCTACCATTCCTTCTTCAGACCCAAGAAATCCTTATCCTCGGTCACAGCATCGCCCGCTGCCTCAAACACCCTGAGAATCTGCGAGTTCCTCTGCTTGATATGGCTTAACATGATCTCAATGGCCTTACCGGCCTGTTCTGCAAGAATCTTCTCGTCCGCTTTTGCTGCTTCATCGGCGATCTGGTGTAACCGCTTAAGCCAGTATAGCCATCTCCAGGGACTAAAGCCACCCGCCGCTCGTTGACCGAGCTCTGACTGGACGAAGGTAAAACCACCTCTCCCGATGGTACTGTTAGAGCAATCATTCCATGAGACGTCGGATAGGAGTATAATGTTCTGCCCGGCCTCTCGGATCCAGGCACATGCAGATGGGAGTAACGACGCGATAGTCATTACATGAATCGTCCGGCGAGGGTCTTCGTCATCCGGCTCATTAGAGCTACCAAGGGGACGCACAGACTCAAATGTATTACGAAAAAGGATCAGAGCAATCTGGCAAAGCCGATCATTTGCAACGCGCGTGGATGCAAGCTTCGCAAGGAAGGACGCAGCATTGAGGCGCTGCTTTGCGTCCATTGCCGCGCAGTCGTTAATCCACAACTCTGTCATGTCCGTCGCAAGGAACGGCAGATCGTTCCAGACAGTCCCATGGGGAGTCCTGGCAATATCGATACCGGCGCCCGGTGCCGGCCTCGTTAGGGGCCCTCGTCCCCTTGTCCGGAGGATGTCAAGGACCCATCTGTCTTGCTCAAAGCTTTCGTGGGAGACGTGCCTGGCGCATTGGTAATAGACGTACCACAGAGAATGCAGGTATGGCTCGCAGGAGTCAATGGACTCCCGGCTCCGGCAATAGGTTTGGCCCATAACCCATGCTCGGTTATGTGCTACAGATCGGAGGAGGTCAAAATCCCCTGCTCGAGCAGCCTCCTCCAACTCCACCCGATCCGCTGGGGCGCATGCAGCAAAGCCGCCAGGACTATCCCGCGGTGGTGAGCTTGGTGAATCCCTTAGTAAGTCGTGCATCCTGAGTCAGGAATGTGAATGAGCTGCAGTACCGATTGGAGATGAGGGTCAGGAGGGTGAATCTCTAGAAATGAGTTGAGTGTAGGAGAGATATACTGCAATGCGGATTAGAGAGCGAATATGCTTTTTTATAAAAAGGGCATGCTGAAGGATAGACAAGGAATGGTACGGGATGCTGTCTTTACGGCAGGCAGCAGCAATCTTCTGCCTCCAAATCAGACCCGTATACGATTGGTGACACGCCACTCGTTCGGGGTAGGAGACCCACTGGGATCAGCAAAGATCAGCAGAAGATCAGCAGGAGGTGTATCCATGACTTGATATCTGGGGCTAGACTCGCTGACTGTCCAGGGGAATCCTGGTCACACTAGACTCTACTGCTGTAGTGCTCTACACCAGAGTTGAAAATACAATGCGACTCATTATACGGACTAGAAGTTGAGATAATAGTTCATACTCAGTGCTGGTATAACATAGAAGACAGGATAACATATACTGGACTGCAGCAAACTTGTACAAGTTCCTCCACTCAGTGGTTGCTTCACAATCAACGCAGTAGCCGAACAGAACAATCCGCCTCAGGGGGGAGTCTCCCTCTCCTGACAGACGCACTTTCTAATGTACGAGTCAAAATAGCAATATTTACTCTCTATCGCGTCGGTACACTTTGTGTAGGAGTTAGCATACTCCTGGAGTAATGGAGACCAGGGCAAGTCACCTTTTTGAAGTCGCAATGACAGATCGCGGGGTTTCCACTTTGGGAGTCGTAATGGCATTGATTGGTCTTTGGATCGCAAGTCTATTTTGAAGAAAAGATCAGGCCCTTCGTCTCGTTCCTCCATAAACCTTGGACACTTACTCCTGGGTACTTGACCTGATGATTGTTTTCGTTTCTGACATCCAAGTCATTGGATGTAGGAGACACAGGGCTCCCCGGGCTGGCCAATGCTCCAAGAGCAGAGAGGGCAAGTCCCAGAGAAGTAAGGGTAAAAGCTTTCATGATGAAGACGTGACAGCTGGAGTTATTTGAGAGGCAGGAGTGAGTTTCTGGTAAATGGATCTGTCTATCCATCTAACCTCCAGTAAGTTGGGTGAGTGGTCGTCTTATATAGACGCGATTTTACTCACTTGGGAGCTGTCAAGACAGGACGACAGTTGGAGGTCTACGGGTTGTTGAACGCTGGGTAGCCAGTCAAACTCACAACAAGAGCAAGGCCATCCCGAGATATCAAGCGTCCTTCCACAGAGGGAATATGCTGGATTGACCAATTGCTTGAGGCTATTGTTAGCTGGTTGTTGGTATACGGCCACGGGCCAACTGCGCAGTGGAGTAGCCGCTGTGCTCCTTTCCCCGAACCGCACAACGGAGGAGGGTACCAATACAGAAAATGCATGGCCTCAGTGGATATCCCCTGATTGGCATCTTAGTGGTGGACACGCGCCGGATCGAGGGAGATCGTCGCCCGCACTAAGCAGCATATACACGCCCGTGCATTAGTGTTGTCTCAAGGCGATGCGGCACAGTCTCTACCAACGTCAAGCTTGTGTAGAACAACAACACTGGTTCTAGTATAGTGGAGTAGTTCACAGATTCAGAATGATCGTCCATGCTACTACGCGAACCATGCCGTACTTCTGACACTCGGCCCTTGGCATCTGGCTTTCGTATTGCTGTTTCCTGTCCATTTTCCCTTCTGGAACAATTCGGAGAGGCTCCGAAGGCAAGCTTGTACATGGAAGTCTTCCTGCTACGCTTCTAAACGTGATGTAACATCAACTAATGCAGGAGACTCAGTACTTGCGCTGGAGGCCCGGCGGCAATGAGGTTTTGTTCAAATCGCTCAAGCACCGTGGTCATTGATCGTCGTTCAACAAGGATCTCGATCCATATGAACAGGGCAGGACAACAACAAGCACGCGGACCAATCACTCGATATAGAACTATCCAGCTTCACAGTGTCAATCAACGAAACTTCTCGAGGCGTATTGGCGGTGTATCTTCGGCTTCTAGTTTTGAGCTAATAATACAGTGGCCAGAGGGTACTTAGGAATACTAGGCAGATTAGGAAAAAGTTATACATTTTCTATATAGTTGTAGGATATACAACTACTCCAACTGAGGTCGAAAGATCATTGATTTTTTGATGTCTCTGTGTTTGCCCGGTGCGTTGTCATGGACTCTAGGCTACGCAGAACATAATTACACGGAGACTACATCGTTTGCCAGTCTTGATCAGATATAGTTTGAATCGTTGTCTGTAAGTATGCTGGAGGACTGAAACATATGTCACTGCTCTGTCTGAGATAGGTAAAAGACTCGGCCTTGCTCAGCCTGCTCCAGTGTGCTTCATGACCAGTAACTACAGCACCTGAGAGCTTTGGAATGGGCATTATACATACTGGGTAAATGATCACCGCGGCAGATGCAAAACACACTTAAAGTAACCCTGTGGGGGCTCCGTATAATCCTTGCCTCGTGGGACTCCCGCCAGCTATAGGAAATATAGAATATAGAAGGCCATGAACATACACGGTGATGACATGCCTCTACAATTTGTCATTCCAGCCCACAGTCCCACCGCACCCTCCCATCGTAGTCCCTTATCTAGTAAGCACTATCACTAGTGTCTGATACCAATCAGTTAATGATATGCAAAAGCGATCTCGACTTCCGTCCCATGTCTCCGCAACGCCATCGCTTTGTTCGTCGGATATCTCCTGGCAAGGCAGCTTCGTGCTACGATCAGTGCTTGATTGAGATAGCTCTGACATATGTGAGGCACCGCGGCAGGCTCTTTCCGCGACCTTTCACGCCCAACTTCCGGGCTGTCATGGAATATCTGCCAGTAAGGGAGGCTGGCAGTATCCATCACCAACTGAATACGCCGAACAGCAACCTGATTGGGTTGCGTCAGTCTATCGCACGTCGTCAACTTCTGATATCAGCGCTGAGACGCCGGCCTATCGAGGCGATGTAACAATTACTCCGTCGAGAAGCCAACCTTCGACCCCAAGGGCGCCGATCCACGAGCGGAGTCAATGGGAAGCTGGACACTTGTCGGGATGTTGAACTTCAGGTTCAGTCAAAGGACAACATCACCGGATTCTCTGAGGCCAGAAGGACATAAAAGGGTCGATACTCGCTCCCTCTGGCCGACTTCTTTACAACCAGCACACTCAGGAACTCTATCTACCACCGTCCAGAATCCATACAATCTTTCTGTCTTTCTCTGATCAAGAGCCTTTTTTCCAAAAGCACCACTATGCAGCTTATCAATGCCATCTACGCCGTCACTGTACTGGCCACCATTGCGGCCGCAGTCCCTGGCCCAATTGTCGCTAGGGGTGAGAAGTTCGCCGTCTTCAATGGCGAGAAATCCGTCATGGTTTCAACCGAGCCCTCTGCGGAGACTGGCAACGTCTTGGTGGCCCTGGCCGAAGGGGATGTCGACTGCAAGGGCTCTGCCTTTTGCGAAAGACTCGGCGGGAGCTGCGACGATGCTTATCGCAAGGTGATACCCAGCAACACCTACAGCACCTACCTCGAGTATGTCTACCCTGATATGAGAGTATATTGTTCGAATGTTTGCTAACACGACACAGCGCTTCCAACACCGGAACTTGCAGTGGAACTTGCGGTCTTTTTGTCAGCGGCCCCCACTGCGAAGTCATGGGCCAGGATTTGATGGACGCCTACAATGACATTCGCAACCGAGGCCATTGCGCCCATTGCGGACGCAAGCAGATTGCCAACGGCTGTATGATCAAGATTGACCGGGTGACGGGTTGCTGAATGGAGTCCGCCGTTTGATAGGATGCGAGGTACATACCGTATACGCATGTATTTATGGCCACAGGGCCGCAGTCTTGGCTTTTAGTCTCCGGATTTAGTTTAGTTCTATCGTTCTTTGGAATTGAAACAAAGTAGTAAAGCTTCTCAACTGCACTGAACTCCACCAGAATTCTCATGGTGGACATTTCTTAGCTGCTGCTTCACTTTGGGGCCAATGCCCCTAATTGGGATAAGAACAACTGTCCACGGTTACATCGCATTTAAGCGGTCTTGGCTAGTGGCTGTAGTGGCTCTTGACTCAGGCACTAACCAACCGCTTGTCTTAAATTTCTCACCCGGTTGGTCGACAGTGTTTAGAGGCGAGGATCTTGTGGGTCACCTTGTTGGGTCTAAATGTCCGCCAACCCACCAGCCTCCACCACAAAGCCTTCGCTTGACTTAGGCAACTAGGCTAACAAGGGGACCCGTTCAGGGATCCTATCTTTACCTGTCTGGGAAAAAGCCCCCATAGTCCCTAGTCCTTAGTCCTTAGTCCCTAGTCCGCCCCCATGTGGGCTGAGGCAATCTCTGAGCCTCTGGCTCAATCTGCTGCCTGGGGGTTCGGTCTTCTCCTGACCTTCCCCAGGTATCTCACTTGATCATCCTCGCCATTTGCACCACTCTCATCATGAATCGACCCTGGAACAGCTGGTGTTCCCTTCGGCGGACGATATTGGCCGTTGCCATTGGCGCTTGCGGTGTTTTCATCTATTTGATATGGTTTGGAATGAACTCGGACCGTGATAATGTCCCCCCGCTCCTCACACAACTCATCCCAGCAGGCCACTGTACCTGCCAATCATCCACTTCATTCCAATGCGCCGACTGCCTCACATGTCTCGCCTCAGCACCGCCATCGGAATCAGATCACCTTGAAACGTGGAGTTTCCAGTACGGACGAGACGACCAGAACCTAGGCCTGAGCCAGAGTCAATGCCAGGCAGCGTTCCCCGGTCTTTTTCAAGATATCCACCGAGGGGTCCAGTATTGGAGGTCGCGAGGAGGCATATCAAGAGACGATCTGAATGAAATACCATTCAAAGATGGCATGGCCCGCGCTATCATCTCCAACGGAGACTTGTACGTCGTGGCGACAAGAGCAAAAGGGGATGACCACCGGCGCAAGATCGTTGGTACTCTGGGATCTATCCATCGGGCGCTCTCCGCGTCCTCGGATCGCACCTCACACCCCACGATCGAGTTTATCTTCTCGATTGAAGATCGCGTGGACGACGTTAACGCGGTCGGCCACCCGGTCTGGGTACTATCGAGGAAAGCATCCGAGGAGTCGGTCATCTTGATGCCCGACTTCGGGTTCTGGTCCTGGGCCAAGAGTAACATCGGCCCATATGGACAGGTCGTAGAGCGCATCATGGACGCTGAATCAAATCTGAAATTTGCGGATAAGGAGCAGAAGCTGGTCTGGCGGGGGAAGCTGAGCTTTGCACCGAAGCTGCGTCGGGCGCTCTTGGACACTGCACGGGGGAAGCCTTGGAATGATGTGAAGGAGTTGGACTGGAGCAAGAAGGCCAACTTCTTGTCGATGGAGGATCATTGCCGGTACATGTTTATCGGGCATGTCGAGGGTATGTCTTCCTCTTTTCTCTGTTATCACCTCATGTTTGCTGCACAGGCTAACAGATATCTGGATCTCAGGCCGCGCATACTCGGCATCTCTCAAATACCGTCAAGCCTGCCGGTCGGTTGTCGTCGCACATAAGCTGCAGTATATCCAACATGACCACTATCTCCTCGTCGCCTCCGGTCCAGAACAGAACTACGTGGAAGTCGAGAGAGACTTCTCCGATCTCCCCAAGCGAATGGACGAACTCTTGCAGAACCTGGACAAGGCAGAGCGGATAGCCAACAACAGTGTCAAAGCCTTCCGAGAGCGATACCTCACCCCCGCTGCTGAGGCATGTTATTGGAGAGCTCTGTGGGAGGGATGGGCCGAAGTTTCGGCGAATGTCACCCGCGACGTTGAACGGCCGCCGATCGACAGAGGACTTCGGTATGAATCTTTTGTGCTGATGGACAGTAACGATATGTTCAAGTATTCATTTGGGTCCGAGTAAGAGCACTGTGATGGATATGTATATAAATATAATAGTCGATATGATCGATGTAATGAATGACAAATATCATGATACGATTGCCTTCAGGTGGCCCGTCAGCTGATCATCAGCACTATAACTTAACCTCCCTTGTTGAATTGATCGTACAGCGATGCAGCACCACGTGGCTGGGTCGTCTATATGCGACGGATATACGAGCGGTCTGCAAGGGAGTTAATCATCGGCTTTATAAGAGTCATGTCCAATTGCGGATTGTATTTATTGAGGCCCTTGGGTTTGGGTCCAAGTCTTCCATGATCAAAGAGCGTACAGAACGCCCAGCCGATGGTTGTTTGAATAACTGTGGAAATATATATACTGCGTAGATAATAGAGAATCACATTGTACGGTGAATTATCAACACTCGGGACACTTCATAAGGCCAATGATATTTAAACATAATATTAAGTAGGGTACTTAATATTGGTTTGGCTAGAGAATGGTGACAAATTGTGAAGCTTTTTTAAATGGAGGCGGCAAAAAGAACGGGAAAAAAATGACCTACGCAGGATTCGAACCTGCAATCTCTTGATCCGTAGTCAAGCGCCTTACCATTGGGCCAGCAGGCCAGGTTGTTGTAACTAATGGGCATCTTTTGCATAGTGAACCAAGGGGTCCTCAACTCTTTATGCAATATGTGTGTTCCTCTTTTTTTCACCCGATGTATACTTTTGTTGATGTTTGGTCTACCACTCCTGTCGAAGGTATGATAAATACATTGCTACTATTGAGTCCGCTACTTATTCAATTGCCTTGATGTGGATAATCCTGCTCCAGTTTCCTTTTGACTGTTCATCCACACTTGTGTCTCGTATAACAACTTCCCTCTTTGGCTAGAGCTAAAGTCTGATTACGCTTTACACAGCGCCTAAAATGGCTAGAGAACGGCCATCTGAAGAACAACGGCCGTGTCCTGTGGCTGTTCACGAGACGGTGAAACATCCTAAGAATTTAGTGTCCAGGCATCCTTATTCCTCCATATTTCGCCTTTTTTATAGACATGTGTCTTGGTGTTGATAGATGGTGCGCAGCTAGGTTGGGATAGGCCTGCCCTACTTGGTCTCGAGGAAGTGACCAGATATAAAATAGGCCAGCTCACTAGAGACAATCAGTCTGCGCGATGACAATCTAGCTATCCGTACAGTGCCATCATGGATCCCTCAACATTCATCGACCCTTATTTGACCCTTCCTGATCAATTGGTGCTGCAGGAGCTCCTAAAAAATGAAGATGCAAAAAGTTGTATCCAATGTCCCCATATTGCACAGACAGCTGACCCCGCAAGTAGGCAAAACTAAGAAGACATCTGACTCTGTCCGAACGCTACAGTGTTTGAACAATCCTAAGGAAGTAGGGTTTGATCCGACAGTCTTCCAGTTCTGGGATACGCATCAGTTGCGTACCCAACTGCACCCGTCCGTCCGGAAATATGTCCTAGATCCCTATATCGCCTGGGCTCAGAAAATAGCCCGATATCCTACAGACGTGGTAATGGTCACGCATCTGTTGATCTATTTCGGAATGTCTATTCCCAGCGCCATCTGGCTGCATTGCTACCACTTTAACTGGATCCACGGGTTGCTGCATTGGATCTTGCATGTCTGGTTCGCTGGCACATATACGCTCATGAAGCATCAATATGTCCATATGAACGGCGTTCTCGCCCCAAAGTATCGGGTCTTCGACAGGCTCTTTCCCTACCTTGTGGACCCGCTGGTGGGCCACACCTGGAACTCGTACTACTACCACCACGTCAAGCATCATCATGTCGAGGGCAACGGCCCCGCAGACCTCAACTCAACGATGTGGTACGACCGCGACTCCATCCCGGATTTTGCCTGCTACGTCGGCCGTTTCTTTTTTCTCGTCTGGCTGGACCTGCCACTGTACTTCCTGCGGACGGGAAAGCGCAAGTATGCCCTCAAGACGGCGCTGTGGGAGGGGAGCAACTACTTCTTCATCTACCTGATGTGGAGATACGTCAATCCTCGCGCCGCCTTTTGTGTGTTTATCCTACCACTGCTCACTCTTCGACTGGGCCTGATGGCGGGCAACTGGGGACAACATGCGTTTGTGGATCCCAACGATCCGACATCCGACTTTCGTTCGAGCATTACCTTGATCGATGTTGCTGTACGTCTAGTCCCCTCGTTCTGTGTTGTCGGCAACCTAATAATATCATCTAGAGTAACCGCTTTTGTTTCAACGACGGCTACCACACCTCCCACCATCTGCACCCACGTCGCCATTGGCGGGATCACCCCGTAGCCCTGCTGAAAGACCGAGACCGCTACGCGAACGAAAAAGCGCTCGTCTTCCGAAACATCGACTACCTGATGCTGACGGTCAAGCTGCTACAAAAGGACTACGAGTATCTTGCCAAGTGCATGGTGCCGCTGGGCGCGCAGCAGGCCAGCATGACCCTGCAAGAGCGGGCGGATATGTTGCGAGGCAGGACGCGGCGGTTTCCGAAGGAGTACCTGCAACGGCTTTCTCAGCGGAGGACACGATTTTAGTTAGTTGCTAGCGTACGGAGGATAGAAATAACACATCCATGCGTCCGTGCTTTGAATACTATAGACGGCCTACTTCTTGACTGTGATATACTGCCAACATCAAAGACGAGCATATCACATTGCTGGAGCCTGATCACTGCGTATTAATGCACAGCGATTGGAGGGTAATAATCATCCATGTCGTAGTAATGGCCCCCATTGTAAGCTTAATTCCGGCCGATTCATTTTATAGGGCCGGATATAGGGCCGGAGACTAGGCACAGCCGCCCTGTCCTGCCTTAGCTGTTGCCCAGGCCAGGGACGGCCATCCAATTTCGTAGCCTAGAGTCTA